TTTAAAATTCTGTGTGGCGAGCCGCTCAGGCTATGAGTCACTCGCTGCTTTTCGCCGAAGCAGAAGCAGGCAGCAGCTGAGCCGAGCGGCTATTCTGGAGAGTCACAGGATGGTGGGAGGGAAGGAGGGACGCCAAGTCACCTCCCTTGCTAAGGCAGCCTCACTGGCACCTCCACACCCAAGGAGCATGGCACTGGGGCAAAGCCGCATGGCCGGGCAACGCAGTGGTGCAGGCACCACTTGATGCCTGCACACCATCTTCCATCTCTCAGAGGTGCCAACAAATAAAATATTGGGGTGGGGAGAGGTAAGCCCTGCCCAACATAATCGATCACAAGACGCAGAGCGCACACACCATTTGAACAGCAATGCCCTTCAACTTTGGGGGCCCCAGCTCCCTCAAATATTTTATTGGGGGAACCGAAGGGACATCTGCTCCAAGGAGTTGGCTCCTATGCCATCTTTACATACCAACTTGCATGATGCATTGTTATTCCAAAGTGTTGCACATACCAAATTGAGAATGATACCAGTGGCTAAGAGACTCAGCCCTCCTGGGGCTTCTTAATGAGTTTTGAGGTTTTGGCTTTTTAAACTTTAAAGACTGAATTCTTAATCCATGTTTTATATTGCAGCTGTATTTTTAAAAATTGTTTATTATGAATTTTAACCTTTTTTAAAAAAATGCACGCTGCCCAGAGAATTTCAGTTATGGGGCAGCATAGTAATACCATTCAATAATAATAAATAAATAATCAAAGAGCTCCCACTTTGAATCTCAGCACTGTTATGAACTCACTTAGGCAAGCCACTCTTTCTCAGATGTACCTTACAGGGTTGTTGTGAGATTACAGCTAGTTAACGTGCTGCAGGGCAGACTCAAGACTTTGTAGTGCCTCTCACCTCCCAAGTCAAGGTGCATAGGGTCTAAAACAAAAAATCCCACAAGCACCACTCTCTGAAAAATAAATAACACATTAACAACAAATCAAAAAATATTTCCTGCCATTGTACCCAGGCTGCCTCATTCTCCTTAAGAATGGGGCCAACTCTGACAATGCAAGCAAAGTGCTTTGAATACTTGCAAATGCTATACAAATTTCAACTATTATAATTCCTGTGCAAATTTTTGTGCCAGTTTTCAGTCACCTCGGGTGCTTTAGCTGAGAGTTGCCCTATGAATAACCAAGCAAACAAATAAATTATCACACATGTTGTGTGAACAAAACAAAAATATAATATTAGCAGGAAATTCTCTGTGTGGGTGTGGGTGTGTGTAAATTTAAAGCAGCCTTACATCTGAAACTGAAGCCAGGTTAAAAGTGTATTTTTTATCAAGAGATAATACACAGATCATATATTCACAGGTGCATGCTAGGATTGTTTGTTTGTTTAAAATCTATGCACAATCAGCTGCTTGCTAATCTTGTCAACTCAATAAATCATACATCAAAAGTATTCCTTCTCCCTGCGCTATAATTTAGGACACAAAAAGTAGTTCTGCTCCCACCCAAATTAGGCCTGATTATTTGACCTTCAACTATTTTCTCAAAAGTGTGTTAACATGAACGACAGGAGCAACGGTTGGTGCCCTATTATAATTCTTTCATAAGGGAAAGCTTTGACATGAAAACTGAGAATTTATCTCCCAGAGAGGAGAGAGCAGATCTGTTCAATTAATAATTTTTGCTTGTGTGTTAAATATTCTGAATGCTCTATGGACCAAGGAGGAGTTCCCACACCCAAAGCTGGTCATTTATTTATTTATTTATACATACATACATACATACATGCATGCATACACACTTATTGGAACAATTCACAAACTACTGTACTTAGAATGGAGTAGGAGCAGTTAAGTCACCTAACTGACCTGTGGGTTAACTGATTTTAAGTGACTTGCAGATGACTACAGTACCTAAAACTCTTAGTTCCACCGAGCATTTGTACTATGCAGTGAGTTATTCCCAAATGAGCAATGGAAGGATTTTATCAAGAAACATAGCTAAGGGCTCATCCACACTTCTGCTTGTGCTGTGCCTAAAAAACATGGGTCTGAGCAGTTAGTGTGGACACAGCTAAGTCACAGCTAAGTTTCTGGATGGGATGTTTTTGTGTATCTCCCACATCTATTGTGCTGGCGCACATGCAGATTTGAATTCCATACCTTGCAGGTGTGAAGAACCTGTGGCCTTCCCCATGTTGTTGGATTCCAACTCCCATCAGCCCCAACCAGTATGGCCAGTGGTCAGTCCAACAACTTCTGGCTGGGGGCACACAGGTTCCCCACCCCTACTTTAAATAATGTGTAGACAAAAGGTAATAGCAATGGATTAAAGCATTGGGCTCACAAGAATAAATGATTAATGTAAGCATAGGGTTTTTTTAGAATTATGACTGGCTGTAATCGTTATGAATATAAACAAAATAAAAATAGAAGCAGAAAAGCAGAAGGAACATGGCTTGGACTTCCTATAAATTCTAACTAAAGCTTTAGGCATGAACATCTAATGAGGGGACTTTCTTGTACAAAAATAGGAAGGCGCTGTCCTGATGTGATATGAAACTGGGTTCTTTGCAAAGCAATATCAAACCTGAGAACTCTAGAATCATAGAATCATAGAGTTGGAACAGACCACAAGGGCCATTGAGTCCAACCCCCTGCCAAGCAGGAAACACCATCAGAGCACTCCTGACATATGGTTGTCAAGCCTCTGCTTAAAGACCTCCAAAGAAGGAGACTCCACCACACTCCTTGGCAGCAAATTCCACTGTCGAACAGCTCTTACTGTCAGGAAGTTCTTCCTAATGTTTAGGTGGAATCTTCTTTCTTGTAGTTTGGATCCATTGCTCCGTGTCCGCTTCTCTGGAGCAGCAGAAAACAACCTTTCTCCCTCCTCTATATGACATCCTTTTATATATTTGAACATGGCTATCATATCACCCCTTAACCTCCTCTTCTCCAGGCTAAACATGCCCAGCTCCCTTAGCCGTTCTTCATAAGGCATCGTTTCCAGGCCTTTGACCATTTTGGTTGCCCTCCTCTGGACACGTTCCAGTTTGTCAGTGTCCTTCTTGAACTGTGGTGCCCAGAACTGGACACAGTACTCCAGGTGAGGTCTGACCAGAGCAGAATACAGTGGCACTATTACTTCCCTTGATCTAGATGCTATACTCCTATTGATGCAGCCCAGCTCTTGTCCTCCCTTTGACCTGCATTCACTAATGGCTCTGTGAATAAGGAATCTGTAAACACCCATTTATTTGTTTTATTTGTTTTAAGGTGTATGTGTGCATGTGCAGCATGCTGAGGGAGAAATGCCAGGGCTCAACAGAGAACCAGACTTCTACAAAGGCACACTATATGGAGCTATTCTGGCTACTCAGCACAGATCGTCAAAAACAAAATACAGAACAAGTTTTCAGTAAAACTTCTCTGGCAAAAGATCCAAGAAACATGGCTGTGCATTTATTTCTGTCCTAATCCAAAACCCCCAGGGTTCAGGCCCTTCTGAAAACAGAAGGAGGTACTGAGTACCAACAAGCCCTGCCTCAAATAAATTATTACACGGTACTCATTATTAAGACCTGAAGCACAGTGATCCACAGAAGAATGGGGAATCCTGGCCCTCTGGATGTTCCCATCAACCAGCATAGTCAATGGTCAGAAATGATGGGAGTTGTTGTCCAACGACTTCTGGAGAGCCAATTTCCCCACCCCGAGTCACTAGAGCCTCAAGACTCAAGCTTGACCATCAAAACATTGTAAAGTACGATATTCTCCAGCTTCTCATCGACTCCTGCAAATAATCATTTCCCACCATTATGTTGGCTCTGTAGGAAAAGTGCAACAGCAGGTCCCCAGTTCAATCTGTGGACACTGCAGCTGGAGGTCTGATTCAATATGAAATTGTATGGAAAGACAGGCGTGACCAGAAAGCGTAGTGCAGGGGGAGGAGAACTTGCGGCTCTCCAAATGTTGTTGGTTATAATTCCCACCACTCCTGGCCATTGCCTATGCTGGCTGAGGCTGATGGGAGCTGGAGTCCAAGGATACCTGCAGCTACAGGTTTCCTCAACTCCGAAGCGTAGGATAGTAGACAAAAACTCCCCGCTTTCGGGAGCCCTGCTTGCTAACAGTTCATGAGATCTGCCACACTGCACTCCCTAAAAGGAAGGGCTTTCTGCAACCCAGTGAAGGAGATGGCGAAGCGCGACGCCGTAGAAAGAGAGGGCGGAGCTTTGAAGGCGCGGCACCGGCTCGCTTATTAAGCCAGCTGAGGACGCTCTAGCTCGTATGTCTTTAAATACTCTATGGTGACGCGGAAGTGAGTAAAAGATTCGGGAGCTTGTCTTGCGTCTATGGTCGGGACGCTGTGTAAGAAACCGGCCGTCGGCATTCCAGGTAAGGGAGGGTGTGTGTGCGCGGGGGGTGGGGTGGGGGTTGTCTGGTACGAGAGGCTGCGTGGGCGTTGCTATGGTTACTGCCTTCCTTCCAGGCAGCCGCTCCCCTGTATCATGTGCCCGCTGCTTGCTTTTTCCTGCCCCATAGGGTAGTCTCTGGGGTTTGGAGACCAGCTTGGGGTAGGTCATCTCTCCCCTCTCCCCCGCCTCTCCTCTCCCCAGTGGGCTTCCGAGAAGGCCCCTGAGACCGTCTGAGGCGGGGCGGCGTCGGCGGCGTCGTGTGGAATAAGGGCAGCCTCTTTCTGAAATAAGGGTAATTCCTGTCACTGTCACGTGCCTGTGTGCGAGCACCGTAGCTGCTGACTTTGGTGTCCGCACTAGGTTGGCCCGAGAACTTGTGGCTCTAAAAAAATCACAGTCCTGGGAGGTTAGTGTAAAAATCTCTATGCCCAGTGGGCTCAGACACTTTCTTGAGCAGGAATTCTGGTTGGCTGGTGAACTAGTGAGTTATTTACAGCACCTTGTTTTGAGATACTTGTAACTGTGATATGGGCTGTTGGGTTCCCAAGTGATGATTCTCATCTTTTTGTTTGCAGATGGCTCCTGGCACACCAAAGGAAATAATGCTTCCAGAGCTTAGCCCATTTACTGCAAGAGTCTGGTGAGGTTCTGGTGGTTTGAAGCACCTCCACTTTAAAGTGTGCTCTTTGCTTTGTTTTAGGTGGTAATATAATGGCCATACATTGGGGTCACAGCTACTCCATAAAGCACATGACTTTCCTGCAAAGAATCCTTGGAACTGTAGTTTACACCTCACAGAGCTAGAATTTCCAGCTATGGTTCCTAGGATTCTTTGGAGAAAGCCATATGGTTTAAATGTATGGTGTGGGTGTGACTTTGGCTTTGGGGCCAGAGTTGGTGGTAATGACTGAATATAGGAACTACAAGGGATGAACTGCAGTAGACATTGTTATCTTTTTTTAAGGAGTAAAAAACAATATGCCACAGTTTTATTAACAGACATTATTCAGTAATGCCTTAGAGCCATTTCACATCTTGTTTGTCTGCATCAATTTACTCACAGCGCATGCTTATGGTGGGTAATGCAGCTAATCCAACTTCCTGTTGCATAGATCAGTTTAAATGGGGGGCATTCATTGGCATGTGCTAATATCTTTAACATACACAGTAAAGCACCATGTTAATATCTTAAACATGTGTGCATAAAACACAGCATGCAGTGAAAATGTAACATGCAAAATGGTGATTGATGTTGCCACTTTTATTTGGATAAATGCTGGATGTTCTTCAACCTGTATTCACTGAGGGAAGTTCTTCAGAGAAATCATGCTTCCATTCTTGTGGTTGGTTATAAGGTTATTACTCTAGTAGGGCAGGGTTCCAGCCTGTCCTAAGACTCTTGTCCAAGTAAAGGAAGATGGTTGTAATTCCAATCTAGGAACCAGCTCTTTATTGATGTCCTTTCTTTTTATTGTTCAGAGATTTTATTATTCAGAGATTTGCAAGTCATTGGGATGTGGGTGGAGTAGCCTAGGAGAGTAGTCTAGGAAGCCCTTCATATTGTTCCACTGAACTGGAATTTTCTGTCTGTGTGAGAGGTAGTGATGGTTCAGGAAAGTCAAGAATGTCCAGTACTTAAAGATTATGCGATGAGCACAGAACTAAGACTGCTGCATCAGAAATAACTATACTGTAACGTGTAGTACTTCATTCACATTCAGTAGGTGTGACAAGGTTGTGGAGTTATGGTGGCAGACGTACAATAAGGGGGCTGGAGCAAATTGCCTATGAGGAAAGGTTATAACATTTGGGGCTTTTTAGTTTAGGGGGGGGGAAAGGCAAGTTGGGGAGGACACAATAGAGATGTACAAAATTATGCTTGGTGTAGACAGATATTTGCCTCTCTTGTAATACTGGAACTCGGGGTCATCCAGGTAAACTGAACAGTGGAAGACTCAGGGCTGCATCAACAAGGTATTGCTTCACATGGTTAAACTACAGAGTTTGCTGCCACATACAGGCAGACCTCTAAATTCCAGTCATTGTAGTCTTCCTGTAGGTGTCTCATTGACCACTATAGAAAATAGGACTCTGGATTACATCGGCCTTTGGTCTGATTCAGCAGGGATCTTATGTTCTTATGAACCTTTCTTTGTGTGGTTTGTGATGGTAGGGAGTACATATGGATTTATTAATGCTAATTATTCTTTTTCTTCAGGAGACTTGATTCTGGATGGTACTAGCACCTTGACCTTATTCACCTCCACACTGCAGATTCTCACACAGATCTTTGAGCAGCACCTATTACCACGAAACCAGAACCATGGCTTCATTGCACTCTCGTCACACCCTGCTGAAACATCTGCCATCCTTCAAGCCCAGTTTCTCTTTGATGTCTTGCAAAAGACACTCTCTCTGAAGGTACGTGCCAAAGTAGGAGTCTGTGAGCAGCGGGTCTATGCTTCTTGCCTTATCTTGCAGTGAGGATACTGGTGTTGATGTAGCTATATTTCTCACTTTTTTATACAGATGATAGTTTTGAAAATTATTTTAGTTGTATTTTATTTCATCAGTCACATTGGGAGGACGTACTCTGAAAGGTAGCAGAAAAGTATTAGAAATGAAAAATTAATTAAATATGATTACAAGGCATTATTTTTAAAAATGCACTGTCCTTGGCCTGAGTTGGACCATTGGTCCATGTAGCCCAGTACTGACTGGCACCAGCTCCCCAAGAGCTCCAGAAAGCATGGTGTCTCAGATGCTTTTAAGTGGAGATGCCCAGGATCACACCTGCACCTTAGTACAGTGGTACCTCGGGTTACAGACACTTGAGGTTACAGACTCTGCTAACCCAGAAATAGTACCTCGGGTTAAGAACTTTGCTTAAGGATGAGAACAGAAATCGTGCGGTGGCGGCATGGCAGCAGCGGGAGGCCTCATTAGCTGAAGTGGTATCTCAGGTTAAGAACAGTTTCAGGTTAAGAACGGACCTCCAGAACAAATTAAGTTCTTAACCCGAGGTACCACTGTACATGCAACACATTAGTTTGACTGCTGACCTATGGCCCCTCCCTGCTACTCTGCTGAACCCCCAATGCTGTTAATGTTTTACATGACTCCTTGGTCAGAGTCTGTCTTAATTGGGAAACTTGCTTTTTCTCAATCGATGCCAAACCCAGTTGAGTTACGGCTTAGTTCCTTACTAAATTGGCATTCTTACCTCTTTACGAATACAGGCAGCCATGTGATTTGGTACAGAAGCAGCACATACTTTCAGTATCCTCCAGCATTTTGTGTCTGACGGTGTGCTTAATAAGTTTTGCATGATTCAGGACAGCTCTGATAAGAAAAAAATTATATATTGCCTCCAGATGAGTTTGTTTAACCAACCAGAACAAAATGTATGGAAGATGCTGATATTCCCATTTTTTAAAAATCACATAATGTCTTTGAGTGTTCTCTACTCTTTGTCTGGAGATTAGGGTGTAGGCAACAGCAGAATGAGCCAGGACTGACTGGCATAAGGCTGAGGGGGTGGTGGAAGATTGGAAAAGGAACTAGCTTCCTCTTGGCTGTAAACGTATATTCGTGCCGTCTGTTCAAGCAGACAAAAAACAGATTGAGGGAGTTGGGATGAACTGTGGTTGCTGTTCAAGAATGCTCAGTAATTTAGTCTTAAAATAACTGAGGAGATACATAGTGGTAGAGGTAAGGCAATATGAAAAGTAATCTAGCTGATAAACTGAAGTTAAAGCGTGGAGACAGGAAGCCTTCAGCTGATCTGCATTACAAATTTCAGGGCTGTTTGCATCAATTATTTAAGTAGGAATATTTGTATCCATTTCCTGAACTTGCAGATTTATTCTGATGGTGCAGTCTAGGATATTCCTGTTCCCCTCCTTTCTCCTTATTCACAGGGGTTAGTGGCAGAGCAGAGGGAAGGGACAAAATCTTTGTATACTCCTTGTTCACTGATAGAATATGTGGCACTCTGAAGGGCAAAGACTTGAAGGAGGCAGAAAGTCTGAAAACAGTTCAACCAAACTTGGTACCACCTACATCCCTTCAGTGTAGCGCTCTCTTTGTGTGTGTGTGTGTGTGTGTGTGTGTGTGTGATAGTACTAACTTTTCTATATAATCACTCAGTATGCACACCAGTGTGTGTGTGTGTATATATATATATTATTTAGTTAATTTACATACCGCTTCAAATGCCCACAGAATTTTCTAAGCAGTTTATAAATCCCTACAGAAAGGAATCTATGTAAGAAATACAATGCAAATTGCATATATTCTTCCTCCTAATCATCAATTTCACATCGTAAGTAACATAAAATTAAATCTCTCTCTAAACAATATATATAAGGTATACCATCTAAGAATCACAAAAATCAATTGTGTACAAAACATCAAAATATACAAATATACATCAAAATGAAACATAATTAAAATATATCATTGAAATGTCATAAATATTATTTAAAAAACGCATAATGTAATAGTTAACAAGTGATATCTGCGGCAGGAAAGAAGGGCAAAGGATGTGGTAGAGTCAGATTTGTGTCAATGATAGATGCTAATAAGAATCTGTTTGGTGCTGTGTAGAATCTTCCTTCTGTGAAATAAGATTTGTATCACTTAATAACCAACTTCATTAGTTTGTGACTTTTACCCTTCAAGGTGAGTTGTGTATATTGGGTTTTATCTCTAGGGTCATTGTTCAGGTTGTTTCCATTGGGTATGTTTGCTCTGCTGGTCATGAGGTTTTTAGCCAGAGCAGCAATGACACACAGATACGGATTGAAATGTGCTTGCCACTTTCGTTATCTATGCTGTGGGCCTCTGGTGTTTGCATGAGTTAGTGCAATAAATTAAATCTCTTCACCCGAATGGATATTTTGTGTTGAAGTTTGGAAAATCCGAGTTCCAGATTAACCTTTTAAATGATAAGGGATATGAGAGTTCTTCAAAGCATCTACATGGAAGCTGCTGGTGCAGTCTCATTCCCAACAGATGCTCTGTGAGGACACATGAAGCCTGTATATATTGAGCAGGGTCTTAGATTTGTGCTTGTTGGTAGGATGTTACTCAAGCCAACAAGAAGGGTCAGTGATGTCTGTCAGATACAGAATTCCCATTGGGAGCCATGAGCAGTATCCCACGAACACACCTTGTCAGTGCCAGGATTTCCACTTGCACAACAGGACTCTTCCCCCCTCGCCACATCCGCTCCATAGGATAGGGGAAAGCCTCAGAACAGAGGTATGGGCTGCATATTGGGAAAGGAGGGGTCCTCTTGTGCAAGTGAAAATCCTTGCAGTGATGGGAGACTTACATAGCCCTATGCCCTGGATACAACCACAGATCTGTTATTTGTATCTGAAGCCCTCGTGACAGCCTATCATCACTACAGTATCTGATCTGCATGCCTTTTCCTCCTCCCTAATCTAGTGTAAACTCTGACGTTTGTAATTACCCAACACTGCCAGATAACATATTTTGATTATTATACTGTATAGGTCCATCCTTATGTGTGACCCATAGGGCCCTTTGTGTTGAGAAACTTTAAATCAACTTAGTATTTAAAGGTGGTTTTCTGCTTCACTTTGTTCCTTGCACAGCATGCACTGTCATTCGTTTGACTTCAGAGTGACTTTGAACCTCTCTAGCTTCTGCCTTGTGGCTGTTGTTACTGGTTAGATTCTCACTATCTTCGCACATGCTACTATGATGTGATCTACTAGTGCAATAGCCTGCTTTGTTCTATTTTTAATGTGGGCTTTGGTCAGCAATCTGGGCAAAAGGCCCACATCCTTAGCTGATACCAATTCTTGAATTTCACTGTTATATTGGATTAGATTGCAGTTGCATTTGGTTTAATAATAGTGCTTCTACAGTGAAGGGAATAGTAGCGGGTTACTTTGGGGCAGGATGAGGAACAGGGAGATTGCTGTTGGCGAGACCATGTGGGAGAATCAGTTGTCATTTACTCTGACCATGCTGATAAGATTGTGTGTTTTATTTTTTCAATCCTTTTCCTTCAGGGAGCTCAGAGTGCAAACATATGGTTCCTTACCCCCATTTTATTGTTACATCCACTCTGGGTGATAGTTATGCAGAGACATTAGAGATCCATGAGCAGATCTGTTGTCTTGATTTCTTTTCTTTTTGTACAAAGCAGCTGCTGGGAGATACCCACCCACCTTGCTTCTGTTTGATTCTAATAGGCAAATAATGACTTTTGGAGGCAATTTTAATTGGGAAAGGTTACCCTATTCCCTCAGCACTGAGGTCCCAATCTTCTACAGTTGTTTTGAACAAAAAGTTTTAAGAGATGTGCCATCTGATTGCAGCTCTCTGGCATATAGTCCAGTTTGGCCCTTAGTGAGCCACATAGCTCAGCAGGGACTCAAAACTAGGCCTCCCTGTTCCAAGTCAGACACTTCATCTATTATATTGCACTGTTGCCAGGATGATTCTGATCCTCCTGTTAAATTCGGTTAACTGAATTGTGGGTGGGGGTAGGAAGAGACAGGTGCATCCATCAAGCTTCTGGGACACCACTCCTGGAACTCCTTCTGAAGCAGCAATTGCTAGCAAGCAAAGCCCTGCAACAAGGAGTAGGGAGGGCATGGGGAGGGCTTTGTGCTGGTGTGTGTTGGGGAATAGTTGTTAGCACACATCTTCTGCTAGGTGCACTTTTCTGTTCGGAGAATCCAGGAGGAAATGTAGATGAATGCTAACTTTCCATTTCTTTCTTGTCTCCCTGGATATACTTCTTTAGTATATAAAGGAAAGAAAGAAATAATAAAAGGCGGGGTATAAATCTAAACATAAAACACAATGCTCCTTAAAACCATTGTTCCTGAGCTTCAGATATCCAAGGCTTGTCGTTTGAGAGTTGGTGTCTATGGTTTGAATAAGTGTGAATCTAGAGCACCAGCAGCTAATATCGTGTCCTGCAGATGCTGTGGATAACAGCCCCCATTAGCTCCAGACAGCATGGTCTGTGGTTGTCAAGGGTGACAGGAGTTGTACTCTATCAGTCTATCATATCTGGAGGGTATCACGATTGGTTATGCTACAACATCTGATGGGCACCACATTTAGCTATCACCGATCTAGAGTGTCACGAAAGTATAGAACTAGTCTGGTTTATGTTCTATTGCTTTCCTAAGCACTGTTCTCTGTGAGATAGCCTAATCTCTAAGAGAAAAGCAATCTCCTTACAAGACTTGCTTTCTCATGCCCTTAAATTGCATGTGGCATGCTGTCAGGCTGTGACTACTCAGTATCTGAACTTTGGTAGTTTTTTGTGTTGGGTGCAAAGTTATGTATATAATAGAACATGTTACCCTGGTGCCTGTTCACAGCTTCATTTGCCACTTTTGTAGAGCATGGGGATTAACTTCAGAGATGTTATATTCTGAAGTTGTGGATTGGGCATCATGAATCTTGGGGTGTGGGATGGGTGCTCCATACTGCAGGGACACGGGTGGCGCTGTGGTCTAAACCACTGAGCCTCTTGGGCTTGTTGATTGGAAGGTCGGCGGTTCCAATCCGCAGGACGGGGTGAGCTCCCGTTGCTCTGTCCCAGCTTCTGCCAACCTAGCAGTTTGAAAGCATACCAGTGCAAGTAGATAAACAGGTACCACTGCAACAGGAAGGTAAAGTGTTTCTGTGCGCTCTGGTTTCCGTCACGGTGTTACGTTGCACCAGAAGCGGTTTAGTCATGCTGGCTACATGACTCGGAAAGCTGTCTGTGGACAAATGCTGGCTCCCTTGGCCTGAAAAGCGAGATGAGTGCCGCACCCAATAGTCGCCTTTGACTGGACTTACCGTCCAGGGGTCCTTTACCTTTTACCATACTGTGGGGTGGGGCAATGGACTTGTAGAGGTGACTCCTGTTGCTAGTGGGTGACTCCTTTCTTCATTATCACTCTCCCCCACTCCTTCTGCTTTAGCTTGTTCATGTTCCTGATTATGCCCTGCCAATTGATGTGAAGATTTTCCCCTTCAAGTCTTTGCGACGTTTAGAGGTGAGTCCCAGATGCTTAGGTGAGGAGCCTCTGGAATAGGGGCTAGATGGTAGCTTGGCCTATTTCTGGTGGCTACTGTGGGGTGAGAAGCTGTGCTGTCCATAGCATGCACAGAATGGTGGGTGGGACTAGAGTGGGAGTTCCATAGTTTTTCACGGTAGCCAAGCAATTTTATTTTCCTGCACTTTGGACTAAAGTAAGACTTTCTAAATCTAGAATCAAAATATTTGATTTGGAGAAATGGCCTTTATAGGAATCAAGACTGAATTTAGCCATGCTGTTACATGGAGGCGAGGGAAGTCTTTGGTTAAGGAAAGGAATGCACGGGATACTGTCTCAAGGGGAAAATAATGAGGGCCTAAAAGTATGTGTGCCCTTTTCTGTAGAAGAGCCCTTAGGCCTATGTGACTTTTTATGTGCTTTGCCCTCTTCTTCTTTCTCATCTCCTGACTCCCGGCTTTCTCCCTTGCCTTAGCTGAAGTGTGTTCCTTTGCACTATCTGCGGGGCCTGCGGTGTGTCTATTCTCAGTTGGAGGCTTTAACCTGTTCCAAATGTGTGAACTCTCTGAAGGTGAGTGAAGATGCCTAACTTGATTGCTTTCTACTTCAGGAGGGAAGGTGCTAGAGCTGTTTTCAAGAGAGGCTGTCACAGATTCACACTGTGCATGCTGCTCAGTTGCATGAATGTGCTCCCAAAGATTTTTATGTCCCCTCTACCACTGAAAACTATATGCTGTGTTAAATCTCAGGTCAGGAGTGATTTAACTAAAACTAGTACCTCAAAATTTCCTGTGGAGTATGCTAGCCAGGTAGAGCTGCCAGCTGGCTTGCTCTTGAGCCTTTGTTTTACGTGCAGGAATTAGCTTGTGAAGCTGTTCACAGCATTGAGGGGGGCTTACACATCTGTTAGTTGCTGTAGCTCAAACTGCTATTCTAGACCTTGCTCCAGACCTTGTTCACAAGATGGTAGGCAAGATGCAAAGACAGCTCCTTCTTCCTTGTCAACTTGTGTTTTATCCTGCAGGAGATCATCTCTGCATGTGGAGGGGACCTCAGTTCTGCCCTTCCATGGCTAGAACTACAGACTGTCAACTTCAGCTATAACTCCATTGCAGGCTTGGATGATTCACTGGTATGCTGGAGAACTGAGAATTGGGGGAGATGTAGTAGGTGATGAGAATGGCATTTTACTTAATGGAATACAGAGACAGAGGGTAATTGTACAATTGTTTTCTGGCAGCTTGGGTTTCTCATTCTGACAGTCCTCTTGTTAGTGTTAGTCCTTCTGAGTAGGTCAGGTAGGACTTGGGCTTTTGGATGGCTGTGCCATAACTGGCCACCTAGTCTTGAGGCTGCTTGCTCTATGGGGTTGACTCAGTTGCCATCACTGACCTCTTATCCCTTCTTTCTTGTTTCTGATAAGCAATTGTTGAATGCCTTGAAAGCTCTGGATCTCAGTCATAATCTCATCCAGGACTGTGAGCGCTACCTGACAGTAAGTATCTGGCAGAGGGCTCAATACCACTCTTTTGAAATCCATTATGAGCAGTTAGCAACTACATCCTTTCTTCTTTCTTCCTTCATTGCTGGGTTGACTCTTTTCAAGCCTTGGTAACATATATTGGAGAACTGTGGATGTGGGAGAAAGGGGAAGGGGGATTTCCTACTTTGTGTTTAACAAAACCACATACTTGAGTAGCACACCCCCCCCCTTGAAGTCAAACATTCTTGTGAGCCTGAGAGGAGACTTCACCTTCCAGTGTGTTGTATAGTTAAATGTGAGGGTGCTTTATTTATACTATATAATTCTTCTTACAGTAGGAATCTTGGACCCTGTGCACTCATTCCACCACCCCCTGGCTTTTTTCTTTGCTTTTTCATACTATTAGTCTTTCAGGGGCTGTTTATGTGGCAGAGCCTTCCCCTCTGCCAGGGCTGGAATAGATGCCTTCTAGTTCCCGAGTGTTCTTTCCATGATTGATTTTGTTGAAGTCTGGATCCTGCCTTCCTACTAGAAACTGAAGGCGGCTTCAGCATAAAAATGCAAATGGTATACAAACTAAATTAGCAATTAACAGCAAGTGCTTCTCAAATGGGTAGCTGTGTCTGTGTTGGGAGAACTGCCAGTCCTCCTTGGGTGCTGGCTTCCTCCTCCTGTGATGCTGCTGCCTCTCCTACCCCCCCCCAAGTGCCACATGTGGCTGTCTGAGCAAGAGCAGAGTTGAGATCATGTGCAGCCATGGCAGATTTCCTGAACAGTTTTAAGTGAAAGAAGCCCTCTGCCAAGAACTCTAATCTTTGTGCTGTCATGAGCCTGAGTGTGTTGGGTTCTGCTCTTTTGATCTGCCATGTGTACTTTACGTTAACAATATGTTCTCGGGGCTGGGGGTTCACTTTGAAGGTTGTTCAGTGTAGCAGGGAGGATGTGAACATGGACGAGCAATGTGGAGAACTGCCTTGTTTTCTTTACAGGTGCTGACAGAGCTGGAATATTTAAATGTGGCTTATAACCTCTTGCCCAAGATGCCTGAACTTGGGCTACACAGCCAGGCTAAACTGGTGACCTTGATCCTGCGGTACAACCAGCTTGATAGCATTAATGGTAAGACTGTTGTAGAGCTGCTGATATGAGGGGTAGCCTAGAAACTAGGTCATGCCGCATTGTAACTGAAGAAAGGAGGCCCACAGGGTGGCACAGTATTGGGGAGAAGGATTCTCTTCCGACATTACTCTACTTCCTTTTCCATAGGTGTGGAAAAGCTTCCCAGCCTTCAGCATTTGGACATTGCCTATAACCTGCTGCTGGAACACACTGCGTTGGCACCACTGTCATTGCTGCACAACCTGAGAAGAGTGAGCAATCAACCTGATTGGTTATTTATTGCATTTATACCCTAACTTTCCACCAAGGAACTCAAGGCAATGCACGTGTTTCTCCCCTTCCCCATTTCATCCTCAGAGCATTGTGAGGTAGGCTAGGCTGACTGTGGGTGACTGGCCCAAAGTCATTCAATGAGCTTCATGGCTTCTTCTTCTTCTTCTTCTTCTTATTATTATTATTATTATTATTATTTTGCAAAAATTTTATTGGCTTAGGGGGGATTTGGATCCTGGTGTCTCAGGCCTCCCCCAACGCTATAACTACTGCACTTCACTGGTTCTGATTGGTGGCCAGTTTATTAGTGTCTGTTTAGTGGTTTGGGCATTTGAGTAACACACATTATAAGACTGTATTTTGTTTGAGGAAGGAGGCCTTGTTATTTAAGGGTAGTAGACAGTAGATGCCTTTGACACTCCTAACATATCTCTCCAACTTACAATGGATTCCCTGTCTTGTAGGGAGGGAATTGTTATGAATACCCCATGTGGTAGGTATAATGGTTAGGGTACAGGACTAAGAAAACTTGAGTAAAAATTCTAGTGAACTCTTCAGGGCTAAGCAATCTCAGGCCATTTCCCATCTCTTGGCTTCACCAACCTCCATAGGGTTGTTTTATAAGATAAAAGAGGTCAAGGAACTCCTTGAAGGAAGCTGGAAAGTAGAATTCAAATTTTCCTAGCAAGAGTTCATGGGAAAGGCAGTGAGGTACATGGGCATAGCCTGGGGGCGGCTGCCCCCCATCAAGTAAATCAATAATGAATACTTAACTAACTGAGGTTCTGCCCCCTTAAATCCTGGCTACATCCATAGTGAGGTAGACAAAGTTCTGGCAATTAGTAGTGTTGTTTTGTTAAATGAAACATACCTGTTCTTTTTCTCCCCACCCCACTCCTCACAGCTACACCTGGAGGGGAATCCTTTAGGGTTCCATCAGAACCACCGGCCTGCTACCATAAGTCACTTGTCTCCTAGAGCTATCTCCAGCAATGTGAGTATATGTGGTCATCCCAACTCAGATGTAAAGATGGCATAGCATGGAAGGCACTTTCCTGTGGTCTACTCTATTTAAATACTTTTGTATGGGAAGCAAACCCTGTGTGTGTTTACACACTAGTAAGTAAACTGTGTACCAAAAAAGGTTGCTCCCCACTTTTTGCCAAAATGTTCTTCTCCATCTGTGAACTGAAGTTGGGGTCTGTAGCTCCAGAAATCCTTGTTGGCTACTCTGGCTACTCAGTCCCATATAAAAGGATGCAGGACTTGCATTTCCACCACAGGGAGGCAGCATAAGAGGTGTCAATCACTTGGGCCTGTTGTACAAAGAGAAGACATCCTGCTCTCCAACTAGGGGTAATGTTGATTTAGCAATTTGCTGAGCCCAGAAGCTCAGTTTCCTGTTCCTGACTTCACACGCTCTATTGGTAAAGATACCTGGAATGAGCCTGAGAATTCCATGTCCATCTGCAGCAAACATGGCAATTTTTTAGCTGGGGCAATTAGAATAAGATCTACCATCTGACTAACCTGTTTAATGCCTGGTAAAGAAAGCCCATTCATTCATATGTTTTATTTGTGTTCAAGGACAGTTTTTAACTCTTTCCATTGTTTAATTGTAATTCTTTGAAGGTATTTTGTATAGCCAACCATCTAGCTATATCTGTATTTTATGTGGCTCCTTTGCTATGGCATGTCCATTTGTAGGAAAGGGCTTTTCTGATTTCTTGGTTATGTGAGTGACTAGGAAATGGGGTTATTGGTGTCTTAACTGCCATGTTTTGTTCTAATACCAGTTCCTTCTTGATGAAGAGCCATTGTCTGCTTTTGACCTGAGGGTGAGTAGGGTATACAAGTATTACTTTTCTAGGTGTTGTGGTGGAAAGAAGAGGGGGTGGGGTGCAGAACTTCTTGCTGCTGGAAACTGTCTCATCCTCTGTGTGATCTAGAATATCTTGATCCTTCAGAATAATGGGAAGCCAATAATGGTATTGTTGGCTCAGATGCTATTGCTTATCCAGAAGCCTCTCTCCTGAAGGATGTATCATCATTTAAGGCTACTGAAACAGCACAGGCTAGCCACTTCTCAAAGAGGAGGGTAGAGGGTGAAAGAAGAGAGAGGTCTTCAAACCTGCCATTCTTACTTCTCTTGGGTTCATTCTGTCTCTTTCAGCACCTCTCAAAGCTGGATCAGGCTGCTGTCCAATCACTCTGCACCTCAGTCTCAGAGAGGGCCCCGACAGACCGCAGTGCCCTGGAAAGTTCATGTGCTGCAGACCAAAGTGACAGCCAGTCCCCTGCAGAGAGCAGACCACCTCTATTACCCCCTCGGAAGAGAAATAAGGTGTTCTTGCTGCTTGGAGTGTTCAGGAATTGTGGGAGGAGAGGAGAGAGGAGACTGTTCATCTACTGGTGGTTTGTGTACCATGTGATCACTCACATTAACTTGTTCAGGAGGAGTTGCAGGAACATAAACAATAGCAATGCTTTGGATGTGGTTTACCATTATGAGAATGAGGCTGGCCTAGGGTTTGAATGCCCTCCCACTCCTCTTCCAGTGCAGCCACACAAAGGTAGCTTCTGCTTCCATTCTTAGATTAACTGCAGTTCAGTGTGTCATTCATTCCCTAAACTATGGATAACCTTAACTATGACTATTGAAAACAAGCCAGCTTCATTAACCATGGTTTGTGGTTGGCTTGTTTCCACTGGCTATAGTTTAGATTAAACGTGGATTGTCCAGGTTTAGATGATGCAGCATTATTGATCCAAAAATGGAACTCATGACCATGCCAGAGGGGAGGTTAGTGCAGCAGCTTGCAGAGGAGGTAGGTTCATCCTTGTAACAATAACTATATTTTAGCACAGGGATGAGGAAACCTGTAGCCCTATACATGCTGTTGGACTCCTACAGCTATCCTCACAGACCATTGGCCATGCAGACAGGGGCTGATGGAGCTCTATCCAACATTTGGAGAACTTGCAGGCTCCCCATCCTTCAGGCCGTGTCTGAACCAGTCCAGCATGGAAGAAGATCTCAAATATCCATCTACAGTGCTCCTCAAACTTCAGTTTCCATCTGTTGTTAGACTACAACTCCTACAACTCACATCATCCCAAGCTAGCAGCACCCAGTGGTCAGAGATGATGGAGTTGTAGTCCAACAATAGCTGAAGACTCAAGTTTGAGAAACGCTGATCTAGTAACTTTGTGCAGCATTCCAAGCTCTCTTTTTTGGCATTGTTTGAAAGGTGGTGGGAATGGGGGGAATAGTTGCCAAGAAAACACTTTAAGGTTTTCAGCAAAAACACATGTAATTAGACACTTCTAAAAAAGCCTTCTTTCCAAAGGTGTGAAGCAGTTAATGATAATATTAAGGTATTGTAATGCTACCATTAAGGAATGTGAGAGAGCCATTTCCAGCCTAAACTTAACAGCTTATCTCTCCTTCAGGGGCAAGTGAAAGTGCGCAGGGCCAGCATTTCAGAGCCCAGCGATACTGAACATGAGTACAGAAGCCTGCCCGTCTCGGCAGGTGAGGCACATGGCAACGGGGCTGTGACCAGGGGTTGGGTGTGTGCAAGATACCGTTGCAAACTTGGGAGGCTGTCTGTCATCCCACAGGTATAGTTCGGCAGCACCAGGCAGAGATGGAGCGCATGGACAGTTTCCGGGATCGCTTTGGTACCCGCTGGCTCCAGTACAGGCGACACCTGGAAGCAGATGGACAGGCAGCAACCATCACCCCTTCTGGCAGCCCCACAGTAGAATATCTGGGCAGCTCAGGCGAGGCTTCCCAACAAAGCAAGAACACCGTGGAGGAGCAAAAGGTTCCTGAGGCCACAGAGGAAAAGGAACTGGAGCCGCCTATGCCTGAAATCCTAGCAGAAGGCCCCCGAGGCAGTAGTGGAAACTGAGAAGATGCCAGTTAAAGAAGATAAACGCCAGGAAGAAAAGCCAGAAGGTAAATGCTTCTGCTCTTAACTCACTGTCCACTTCCATAGGAAGGTGAGAGGCAGTGGGCATTTGGGCTGGCATATGGTTAGTGCTGAAATCTCAAAAGATGCCACCACGGTGAAAGACATCTATAGTATTTATATTTTCTTTTCCCCCTCCTGTCTGACTTCTGTCATGTCTTATACCCTTTGCCTGTGTCTTTGCCTGCATTCTATCCCTGGCTAAAGCATTTCATTCTGCAAGGCCTTAAGCTGCGAATATGCCCACATGTATTCCTTTTCCTGTTGGAACAGGGGACTCAGTGAACCCTCCAGTACAGGGAAGGAGAATCGGAGCTGGCCAATGTGGGCCAGATCTTGATCTCCCCCACTGCCTGTGGGCCAAATTGGATAGGTAGGAGGAGCCATTCACCTGTCCATTGCCTACAAGCCCCTTTTGTGTCTTTACCTGCCCCATATCTGACATAATATAGGACAGTGGCTTCGATAAAACTGTCTTATGGGGAGACCTGCTGGGCCTAATTAGGCCTATGGGACGGAAGTTGGCCTTCCCCCATTCTAGAACCTGTTCATATGCAGCTTACTGAATGGCCTTGGACTCTGCATAGGTGTGAGTAGAGCACAGTGCATGATAATGTTTCATGCAGAGTCCGTCCATCCATCCATCCATCCATCCATAAATAAATAATAATTCTGTCTCAATGTGCAGAGGCCCTGCCTGGGCCCCCTTAATCAATACTAAATGTGCTCAGTCCTAGCTTCTGTTACAACCCTAATCTGTGGTGGCAGAATTCGTAATGTTGCCAAAAAACCTAAAATTAAAAACCAATTGAATGACCAGAAAACATGCAAATTCGTCTTGCCTTAAAATCTGGGTATTGTGATACCGTATTTGTGGTGTGGATACACGTTGACAAGTACACTTTGTTCATATCAACAGTGGGGAACATGTGACCTTGCAGATGCTGTTGGCCTCCAACTGACTGTTGGCCATGCTGGCTGGGGCTGATGGTGCTGGAGGCCAACCATATCTGGAGGGCCACAAGTTTCCCCACCCCAATTTAAGTAAAGGATTCTTCTTCCTAGAAAGTGCAAAATGGTAATGCCATTCTAAGCTAGCAAGCCCTTGGCATGTTACTGATGGAAAAAGGAGATCCCAAATTGCTTGGGCTTGACCTTTTATCTTCTGGGTAACTTTTATGGTGCAAACCCTTTCTTTCTCTGTGAGGCTGAATCTCCCCACCCATCCACCCGCCACTGCCGAGAAATAACACCTTGAATTGGGGTGCTGAAAGCTATTTGCTTGTTAATAGTTAACAATTCACAACTCTGTGTTTACTTTCTACCACTGAATACCAACCAGATGCCATATCTGTGATCTTTCATAAGGGGAATACTTCCTGTTCAGTGTTGACAAATCTCGTCATACCATACAGAAATTGGGAATCCTGGCTCCCTCTGTGCCTGACAGTAAGACACATAGCATTCCTTTTTCAAAAGGAGTTCAGAGTGACATTAAGTCCTCCTGGACTGAGAGGTATCATTGGCTGAGAATGATGGGCATGTGAAAGCCCACGGAGCCAGGATTTCAATCTAGGTACATGACGTCCCAGTTCCAGCCCTAGGGCAGACTGCATTATGTGACAAGATTCTTCCAAGAAAATTACTTTGCTTGCATCATGTGGTGCCCTTAATTTCATACCTGCTTTAGTTAAAGCATTGCCATAACTTGTCTTTTGCTTTCAGTGGGCTTTGCAACTCTGCAGTTTCCATAGGCAGTCTTTGAATATGTGGGGATTTGCAGACTTTCATTGTTGCTGGGACTCTGGATGCTGAAATAGGTAGAGACTAATGTTCTCATTTATCTTGGCAGTGGAGCTTTATCAGCCTGTGCTGGTAAGCCAGATAGAAGATGGTTGTGACCCAGAACCAGACTGGATCTTTTTGCGGATCACTTCCCGACACATAATGGAGGTGGAGCTAAGAAAAGGCAAGGTTTTGCGCAAGCTGGAGCTGAAAAGCCTTCGGAAAATAGAAACCTCAGAGATGCAGTGGAGAAGGATGGTGAGTTCCAGTTGCTTTTGTGGGGGACAGGGTTTCCAGTAAACTGACCACCATGAACTCCAGTATAGCATTGTCTAATGATTGTGTGCAAGTATTGGCTGGCTCTTTCCAATGAGCTTTACTTCAGGCAGTGCACAGGTATATTAGATTATTTCGGGTGGGACATACGGTGTAGATTAGGCTGGGCAGATCTACCAAGTAAGTGAGAATTCTTGTCAAAAGGAAACGTAGTACAGTAGATTATTTTTCCCCCTTGAAACAGAGTTGCTTACTCTAGTCCATACTTTCTGTTTCAAATCCACTACTACTGCTACTATAAAGCACATGATCACATTACAGCTGGATGGGTGGTAGCTGGTGCTGGCACCATTTTGCACAGTTTCTGTTCAGTTTTCTTCTTATTCCCAACAACTTAATGAACGACAGTGTCAGCCTTGTTTTTAAGCATCTAAGGTTTTGTGGTAGCTTGAGGCTGCTTGGTTGCCTTCTGATGATACAGAAATTGGAGCACCAGTACCTGGTAGTGTATGTAGAGAGGGCACCTCAACAGTACGTGGAGGAGAAAGTTCTCTTTTGCCCAATATGTAGCTAATCTCACTGAGAGGAGAAAACCACCCTATTCACAGCAGCATTGCACTGGGATATAAATATCCGAGAGAGCCTTGTGGTGGGCTCTAGCCATGTCTCCCACCCCACTGTGTATTTGGGGTCTGCTCTATCAGTTTCTTCAAAGGAGGCATTCTGGGGTATAGTGGGTTCCTTATATTCACTTCACTACAGCTGTTTTACATTCCATAATTGGTTTCAGCCATGCAAGCATAGTCTGACATTGGTTGCAGAAGTCAGGGTCTTGATAAACCTTCCCATCTGGAGCAAACAAGTTGCTAGTCATTCTAGGTGTGAAGATGAGCTTGGAAATATGTGGGCGATGTTTGCTGAAATCTCAGAACATAAGAACAGCCTGCTGGTTCAGGCCCATGGCCCATGTAGTTCAGCGTCCTGTTCTCACAGTGACCAACCAGAGGCCTGTGGGAAACTAGTGAGCAGAAGAGGAGCATAAGATCTCTCTCCTCTCCTGTGGTTTCCATCAACTGGTATTCGGAAGCATTTCTGCCTCCCAGTTGTGGAGGTAGATCATAGTCATGACTACTACTACTACTACTACTACTACTACTAATTTTTTATTTATACCCCGCCCTCCCCAGCCAAGACTGGGCTCAGGGCGGCTAACAACCAATAATAAAACAAGTTGATTAAAATACAAATAAAATAAAATAAAATAGTAGCAGCAGGTGAGCAGTTCAGTGTCCTCTGTAGCTCTTCCTTGTCTCTCTCCCCCCACCCCAATGGCTAACAGAACAGGGGGGTGCAAATTATTGGGTTACCTTGCCAGAGAGGTTTTCGAGGAACTCCTAATGCAGAGACACACAACTTGTGCTGGGATCAGCAAGTGGCTGCAGTTGCCGGTTGGTCCAAGTTAAAGGGACTGGGCAAAGCGGTCTCCATTGCAGTGTGCCTGTGAAGAGAGTGTGAGCAGGACAGGTTTCTTTTCATTGGGGAAGCTTGTTCTGACCAGAAACCTCCCTCTTCCTGGCAGGACCTGGAGCGGGTGTTTCCTGTTCTCACACTGCACTTCAGCTACATCCGCAAGGACCGCCGGAAGCGCCAATACGTAGTGTTGGATGACCACCCTGAGCGGTGTGTTCAGGTAGGTGAGGAGGTGCTTGGTACACAGCTCAGATTGGAGTGGAAGGGGAGGGTGCCCCTGCAGAACCTTAGCTTCCCAAATTTAGAGGGGGGATGTTGTCTCTGAGATGGGGCCAGCTTGACTCCTAAGGACACAAGAGCAGCCCTGTCTGAACAGGTCAATGGTCCCATCTAGTCTACCATTCTGTTTCCCTCAGTCGCCACCAGATGAGTGTGGGAAACCCAAATGCAGGGTATGGAAGTTGATGATCATTTCCTGCTCCCCAGGTACTGGCATTCCTTGACATACGGCTTCCAAACCTTGAGTTTCAAAATGCCAAGATTAATAGGCACTTGAGTTGGACAAATTCAGGGACGAAAGGTCTAATCCCCTTTTAAAGTCATCTGAGCCACCGCATCTTGTGGCAACAAATTCTATAAATTTTGCATTTCACTTATCTGTCCTAAATCAGCTGCTAGTCAGCTTGGAGAGAAGTGCAGTGCTTCCTCCGGTGTTCCTGGCCTCCCGCCCTCTCTGCCCAAGGCTAAGAAAGGTACTAGTTGTGATATTCACTCTTGTGTAAAGGGAGGCAGTGGTATCTCAGCTGCCCTCGCATTCTTCTTCAGCTGTTCTGCCCACTTCTTGCTTTTTTCTTTTTTTAAAGGACTTGCTCCGGCTGCTGGGACCCACCCTGGAGGAAAACCAGAAGAAGGCTGAGGGAAGTTCAAAGCTCCAGTGTCTAAAATGCAAACAGGAATTTGTTGGATTCTTGTCACTTGGACAACAGAATCCAGGCTTCACTATAGACGCTTCAGCTTTCTCTGAACAAGGTATGGGATGAACAGGGTATATTTTTGCAAAATGGGGGTCATACCTACTGGGTTGTGCTAAAGCCCTATAAGTTCAAAGCACTCATTGGAATGTGAAAACACTGTGGTTGACCACTTATAATCTGATTTGTTCTCCCTTGAAGAGGAGAGATCTAAAATGGTTAGTAGGCTGGGCTCTCTTTGGGACATCACTTTGCGTCATCACATCACTTTCTGAACCTGTGTCTAGGGGATGTGGAGCCTTTGAATGAGTAAATTGGCTACTGCAGCTACTTTGCCGTCTTCCTAGATGTGTTTAGTCCTCTGCTACATCTGCATGTTTCTATGGTAGGACTTTTGCTGCCCAGCTGTTAAATTTCTCTATAATGCTATGAATTATATTGATATATATATTTTTATGTTAGCTTTCTATCTTTGTGAGAGTGCTGTGTTATTTAACCATAAATCATTGGCTTGGCTATTTGGATGAATTCCTTTGGGGTGGGGGAATGCATTGACATAGTATTCAACTTTTGCTTTTCTTATTTTTTCGAGGTTGATTATGAGAGATGAATACAGTGCTTTGCTGCAGAATTAGCCAGCGAGACCAGAGCATCAAGGGATGTACATGGGAACTCCCTTAAGGAGAAGGCAGGACGGCAAGGGACTAACATGTTAGACTTTGGGTCCCCAAGAGTAGAGCCTGGTGCTTGATTAGTTTGCAACTAGAACTGTGGCTGCCAGACCAGGTTCTGCTATGTTCCTCTTCTTCCTCTTCAGGTGCCACTACTCTCAGTGAGCCCACCATCTGCCCCAGCTGCTCCAGCGACCATGTGGTCATCTTGCCCTGCGAGGGGCGTTCCAGCACTCCATTGCTTCCTGGGGAAAGCCAGCAGGAGGCCGAGTCGGGAAAGTTCTACACTGGCGAAGAGACTACCTCTGAAACGGGAACCGGCTCCAGTCCCCGGATCCAAGAGCTAAGCAGTGACCAAGGCAGCGCTGCCCATTCTAGCTCCCGCAGTTCGGAAGGGGCAGACGGCAGTGGCAGCAAGAGTGGCTTGAGCTCCAGGGGCCGCTACTCCTTCCTCAGCCAAACGGATACCAATGGCGGGGGCCTGTTGGGGAGCTATCAGTATGGCCCTTCCCGTGGGCCCACCCCTCCCCAGCTCTCCCTGAGCATGGAGCAGGAGGAACACTGGAATCTGAGTCCCCGTGAGTGCTGGCAACCTGGTAGGGGTGGGTCTGCAAAGTCAAGGGGAGCGCTGAATTCTGCACAGTTAGAGGGGGTATACTAAAAGAAATGTCATCCTCTGCCCTAAGACTCAGTATTAACCTTAGTTAATATCTTTGAAACTGCCTTAACTCCTGCCACTGCCCAGGCTGGTATTCCTATAAATAGAATTGTGGTTTTTTTCCTGCAGAAGTGAAGCAGGAGCTCCATCTGCTGATTGTTAAGAGCACTATGTGGCTATTTATTTGAATTGTTTAGTTTTCAGCTGCAATTTTGAATGCAGCCAAGAGGCGGTGACTTGCTAATGTCTGTGTAAATGTCTGCTAAAGGTTTGGTGGTGGCTGCATTTGGATTGGTAGTGCCAAAGTAAGGCGACAGCAGGCAGATTGCTTTAATTCAGGCCTGCCTAAGTGGAGTGGCTGGGGATGGAGCTCTTTAGGGGGGTGTTACCAACAACCTCCATTGTTGCCAGCATACTCCCATCTCTGTGTAGGAGCATCTGTGACCCTGAAGTTGCCTGTCATAGAGTTGGAAGGGGTCCCTAGGGTCATCTAGTCCAACCCCCTGCAATGCAGGAATCTCAACTAAAGCATCCTTGACAGAGGGCCATCCAACCTCTGCTTATAAACCTCCAAGGAAGGAGAGTCCACCACCTCTCATAGCAGTCTGTTCCACTGTTCTTCTTTAGTTAGTTCTTCTTTAGTTCCACTGTTCTTCTTTAGTTTGAATCTCCTTTATTGTAACTTGAATCCATCCCCTCCAGTGCTGGAGAAAACAAGCTTGCTCCATCTTCCTTGTGACAGCCCGTTTGATATTTGGATATCATATCTCAGTATGGCCAATGGTCAGAGGTTGTGCTTCCAACAGCACAGGTTTCCCACCCTAGTTCTAATCTGTGCCTTTTCCCTACTTCAACTTCTATTAGAGCTGGGTTTCATAGACCATAATATTATCTGGGTGAGTGGACATGTATTCTGGGAAAGCTACATGGCACAGAAGGGGAATTCTGCATAGATCTGGTACTTTGAAGCCCATTAGCAACCTTCGGAATGTGGTCCACATTTCCATTGATCTATCTAGCTTGGGACCTAGTCAGATGATGAGCATACTCTAGCAGAGGGAGGCTTGCCTTCAAAAGAGGTGGGCCTAACAATCTCTATTTTGATGGATTCTAAACTCTGTGGCCAATTCAGGTATGACCTTGTAACTGAAATAAACCCAGTCTGGATGCAGTAATAGCTCTAGTTTGATACAGGCACCCATGACTACCTGGTTGCAAAGTTAAAATGCTGCCGTCGACTGCTCAACCCCACTTTTTTTTTTCTTTTTAAAAACTCTGTTGCCCCCTCAGCCACCCACAGTACTATGGACATGCAGGACTTCTCCTCTGTGGATCATCGGCTCAAGCTTTATTTGGACATGGAGGTCTTTGACAGGGCAGAGGAGTTCAAGTGCTTTCTGAAGGTAAGAAAGGCAGCTCTCCACAATACTGACCATTTAAGGTGGGTGGGAACACATCTGGATTTAACTTAGGCATTGACAGTCATGTAGGTTGGTGTTTTTTCCTGAGGCTCATAAGACCCTGCCTTCTGCCATGTTTGTTCTAGGTGGCTGTTGTGAAGAATGGCCGACCTGGGGAATTCTTGGCCCTCCTGGTGGCTTCAGACACCCACTTCCACGTGCTGGAGATTACAAGACGGATTAGGTGAGAGGGCTATTCTTGGAGCAGTTCTCATTTGTGTTCTGTTTCCTGTCTTGACATCCACTTGATATGGCTAGAGCAAAGAGAACCTTCCCGAATAAAGAAAGACCTCTATTAAAATCATATAACACCTTCAACCTGTTACCCGGCTTTGTCTACTACCCTAACTAGTAAATAGGTGTTTGAGGTCCCCGGCAGAGGGCTTCCCCCATCACCTGCTTCCTGAAAACCTTTAGCTAGAGATTCCTGGGATTTAACCTGGGATATTCGTTCACACAAAACATGTGCTCCTCTCCTGAGCTCTGTGCTCCTGACTGAGAAAACTCTTATCCCTTCTTGGTGTTCGTCTCTGCCAAAAAAAACAACCCTCCTTGAGCTTGCTGGGTAAGGTGGGCCCTACCTTGCACTGACTTGACACATTTGGTTCTTCTGCACCAGGGGACAGCCGTCTGCTTGGCTGAAGAAGGGGGACAGTCACTGCCTGTCTGACCTGTCTTGCCTGGAGGTGGGGCTGTGCCATCAAAGCTTGCATATGGAGTTTGCGAATCCCTGCACCTCCTATAACCTGCTGCTTCGCAACCAGAGTCACTGCAGAAGATTTCTCCAGTGCCTGACATGTAAGAGGGTGTATGGGGCTGTGTGTGCATTTGTACAAGCTTCCCTGATCTTGTCTCTGTGCTGACAGGGGAAAAAAGTAACCAGAATAATGGTGGCTTGTGTGACAACCCCAAACAAGTGCTGTGGTCAGTGCAGTTCTGCTAAGCCTGTTGACTAGAGGCCAATACAGTGTGGTACAATAGAATTCCTCTTATTTTTGGTTTGGCTTAACTGCCTTGTAGCCTTTGCTCAGATGGTCTTAGAGAGCCAACTCTAGCTACTTGACTCCTCCCTGCTTGCTGCTGTGTGAGCTTTGGTTTCCCACCCACCCAACCAAGCCCTATGTGAAGGAGGGCTCTCTTCTCTGATGCAGCAAAATTTAGTCTTGAGAATTGGCCCTTGCTGGCTTAGACCTTTTACCTGGAAATTTACCTTGAAACCGCCCAAGTATCACAATTGCATCATAACTTCCCTCAATATCCTCTCCAGATCTCAAAGAGGAATTGCCGGCCAAAATCAGGAGGAAAATCCCAGACGTTACTGTGGAGGAAATGAATCCGCAGCATCCATTGTGGTAAGATGCCTATTGCCATTGTACAGTGTAAATGAGGTTTTAGCCTACAGGTGGTGCTGTCGTGACAAGGACACAAAGTGGGAAGTTGTAAGTTATGCAGGCGAGGAATAGTGGTTGGCTAGGATAGGAGCAACAACGGAAAGTGAATTTGGTGGAGGACTTGCCTCAGTCATGTTGTGTCTGTGTTGTAGGCCATTGATTGAAAAGGACCTAGCAAAAGAAGCTGCACGTGGCTTGGCCAGACCCTTCTTCTACCTGTTGGCATACCTCATTCAAGGTATGGATGTGCTGTTCCTGGAGTCATTTTCAGCCTCAACAAGACCCTTGCGTGGCTTGATATAATTCTGTTGCATAAGCCGACTGTCCAACCTCTTTTTCCCCAGGGGCTTCTGCCTTTCCTGTGACTGTGCTCAGCACCCATAAACATATCTTCCTGGTGGAAGAAGATCACCAGTGGCAAAACATCCCACCCTCTGCTGCCTCAGACACTGGCGCTGAGAAGCAGGCAAAGAAGTGCTCCCGGCTGAAAGGGAGTGAACCAATCAGCAGCATCTGTGGTGTTATACTTTACCGTTTCTCCCCTTGTGACATGAAGCTGCAACTTTACGATGAGGTACAGGTCACAGCATCAGCACTTCTTTCCGGGATACTAAAATGCTTGTATGGAAGGGGGTAAATGCTTCCTTTGGAAAGGTGAGCATTATTGCAGGACTGTTCTCTTGCTCGTAGCTAAATCTACTGGTTCCTTGCAAAAGCAGGTGACCATCTCTGGTCTGAGTAAGGAAGGGCAATTCTGCTTGGTCAGGAGGTGTAACTCAGACCTAGCAAGCAGAATTCAGTCCAGGGGCTTACTGCTGGGTATGCCCATTCCCTGATCATCTGAACTGCACCTTCTTCCTCTGCAGGTCCTGAAGGTGGAGAGCACTTGGCATTTGCGAACAGAATGTCCAGACTTGCTGGCTGATCTGGTAGAATGGCTGCGTGTGCCCTGGGAAGAGATGTTCTCCATTGCTCTCCAGAAGACTGTTCTTGAGGTGTTGGACTGAACCAAAGAAGCTCTGACTAATATGTTTCTGTCCCTGTTGGATTGGAAGGACAAATTCTTTTTTGAGCCACTTCCTAGAATGTGGTGCATGACACCATTTTGAACTTCGCGGCTGTTGCAAATCGCAGCGGCATCTGGGAACTGTAACCGGAAAGCTTGCATCTGTCTTCTGTTTTGACAGTACAGAATCCTGGCCATTTGCAAGACCTCTTGGTGGCTGTGTAGGTCACTTCCTGCAGGGCCAAGAGGTGAGCCAGCCGCAGTCTGACCACATATTACTTCCTGTTAGACTGGAAGAAGCTTCAGGGTGGCCCCAAAGCCAGGACTAAGCTTTCCACAGCAGTTCCATGTGCACTCGTCACTTTCTCTTGGGTAGCAGCTACTGAAGATCCTAACTCTCCTGGATTCTACACAAAACTGGACTGTTCTGATCCAGGTAGCGGCCTGGCACTCTCACTGCGGATCTTGGGAAATTGTCTGACTTTCTTTGCTTAGCTGTGTAGGCCTCACTTTCCAGACTGGCCAGGTGCATATGCTGCAAATCTGTCCCTGTGCTGGTTGAACATTCCTAAGGGTTGCCTTAGCTATGGGCACAAGGATATGAGAACTCTCTCCTACACTTTGTGGATGTGGAGATATTTGGGCACTCAGGGTATGACACACTGGAAGCTACTGTCTTCCCTGGGACAATTTTAACTGTGAAACTTTTATTTTTTGGTGTTTAATAATAAAATGATTTTTAACTTCTTTTGATTCTCCCTTGCTGAGATGATGCAAATTCCTAACTGGCTTCGATTTTGCAAGTAACTGATGCTGCTGTTCTTTTGAGAGTTGCCCTGCATAGGAAAATACTGAGTTTTAAGATGGGCTGTGGCTTCACAGTCTAACAGGGGTTCTCAAACTTGGAGCTTCACTTTTGCTGGAATAAAAATCCCATCATCCCTGACCAGTGTTCAAAACTCCCAGCCTTTTAGGCGCATTTTGCAACAGGGAATTTCATTAGTGTGAGCAGTTTGAGCTCTGGGTACAGTACTGTGCCTAAGATTTCAGATTAAAACTGCAGAATGTAAAGAAAGGAGGACCTTTTTCTGCTTCTCCACTTCCAGCTACTCTCTGAAGACTGGAGAAGAGACCCTCCCTCTTAAGAATATTAGGGGGGTGGGCCAGGGAAGGACTAGACCATGTTGAAAACGAAGATAATATTTTAGCTGCAGTTCATTTATTTTCAGCTTTGTATTCTTGTTATAAAAAAGCACATCTAGACATTCTGTTGTTGTACCCATAACCTAGGCTTAAGGTGCCATTTAGCTCCTAGCTTTCATAACTCAGTTTCTAACACTGTCCCTAACCACTGGTCCTGCTAGCTAGGGATGATGGGAGTTGTAGTCCAACAACAAGTGGAGACCTGAGTTTGAAAAACACTGGTCTAATAAAAGTGCTTCAGTTGCAGACTTCTGGGGAGTGCAGGGAGATTAAAGTGCAGGGTCTACACTTTTGCCTGGTACTCCAGTGACAACATAGGGAGTGTTGCAGCAAGCCTGGTGGTGATCTTTGTGTCCCCAGGAGACCTCAAGTAACTATTTTCATAGTCATTGATGAAACCTCCTTCTACAGAGGCCTGTTAAGCTGTCAAGGCTTGCTGCCCCCTTCTTTGGGGGCTTCCCTTCTACTAGGTGGCTGAAATCTGAGGAAACGTGTAGGGGACACTGTGCTGAGCAGACCAGGGAAATTATGCAATCTCCACCCCCAGTTTCATCACCCCTTGTTCCTCTTTTTTCAGGGTGGTTCTGTTCCTTTCCATGCATGCCAAGCTAGCTGAGAGCCTAGTTTCTTCCAGAATCAGTCCAGGGACATTCCTGGCAAGAGTGTGATCTGTTCTTCTTCCAGGGTGCCCTGGAGCACAGAAATGACTGGGGTATGTTGCATGACCAGTTAGCTGACCTGCGTTCCGGAGAACAAAGCGTGCCTTGATCAGCAGTCCTACACTAACAAGGGACTGAAGCAGAGGCAGTTATATCACAATAATTGAGGTTTTTGTGGATTCTGTGACGGCACTGCAAAAAGGCCAGCAGCTAGGGAGGAGGCCTCTGTGGTGTGCATCTGTTTGGGGGACACACCCAGTGCCTTGAGAGCCAGAACCTCTTTTTATCTCTTTACCAAAAACAACACCACCACCACCTTACTAGGTTTAACAGAAGCGGGGGGCTAGGACCCTGCTTTTTACATCCTTTCACAATGGCCTTGCAAAGTAAGCCAGTGCCAATGGCAAAACTATCCAGTAATTGCTACCACCGCACTTCCTGTTAAACCTTGACAACTCTGTGGAGTGAAGTCTAGAAGGTCAAAGCAATTGCTGCCAAAGGTAGCCTGAGTCGACACACCCTGCATTTCTCAGATCTCTCTCAATTCATCAGGAACAGCAGGGTTGACATCTAGTTGTCTTCCCCACATTGGTGTTCAGTGCAATCCCTTCTTTCCCCTGTGAAATCCCCATTTTCAACCCCAGTAGTATACACTCAGCAACTAGGCATGTGCGAGATTACAAAAAAAACCTCACATAAACACCCATTAGACCCCACAGCCATATTATGTGAATTTTTATGTAGAATGAAAAGGAAGGCAAATGGATAAAGCAGGAAATGGAAAATAGATTTGAACCAACAGGTTCAATTTATCTAACCTAACCTTGCTATTTACAAATGGGCTTCTAATCTCATGAGCAAACCAACATAGGTAGTTTTCTGATGGTCGGTGTGGGATGAAAACTGCATATCCACAGCCCATTTTTAAGGGGTTTTCTGCCTACATTGGGTTAAGTTACAAGAGGCTTTCCCCACCGCCCAGCCAATCAGAGCACACGTCATGCTTGCCAGGTTACCAGTATGACACCTTTCTGAGAGCTGGGGAGATGGCAGATGACCCCTGGGGGCAGGTGAAGATGGCTACCGCTGGTGTAAATTCCCAGTGGGATTTCTCAAATTTCCTGTCCCAAATCTAGCCTGTCCTTTTTGATTCAAGACTTTGATTGGAGTACAGACCTGGCTCATTCAGTTGCCATAGAGGGCAAGAGATCGGACCTTTTACTCAATCTTTACTATTCCTCAAGCTCTCCACCTGACTCTTGAGTAAAGTGGCTTAAATGCTGCCCTGGGTGCAAAGCTAATTCCTCCTCACCCAATACCCACTTACCATTGTTCTACAATGGCTCTGGTTAACTTCATTCTAAGCCTTCTGCTAGGAGGCTGCTTGAGGAAAGCAAACGGAGCACTGCAAAAACAAGCTCCTTCACTTGAGTGATGAATGAGTCTGCTTTGTTTGCTCTATTGGCATCCTGCCCTCCCACCAAAAACTCATGCCGGCTGTGGAAACTAAAGCAAGTTAGATTTAGAGTGGCTTTCTCAAAGCTATCCAGTAAACTTCAGAGCTTGCAAGAAATCTGAGGCTTACCAAATACCCAACTTGAATGTTTATGACCTTCCTGCCACACTGGGTGCTCTGTTGACCACAGAAAAGCAACACTGCCTTCCTTAGCCCAGGTTCTTTCTATAATTTCCATAGTAATTGTGGCAACATGCACTGGAAACTAATTATCTGAACTGACGATGAGGAACCTATGCCCCTCCAGGTGTTCATCATCACTGGTTGCCTGTCACTTATCCACAATGGTGCTCAGAGTAGCTCACAACATGAACGATAACAAAAAAAATAATAAATTCAAAAAACAAATTAAGAACAATTGAAAAGAATAATGTCAATAGATACAGGAAACAAATCCATACAATAACAATACGAATTAATTACCGGTAATTAACTTGACAGCCTGAAGCTCAACTCCAGCCACAGCCAGCATGGCCAATGCTCAGGGATGCTGGGTGTATGTGGTTCAGCAGCAATATCTGGAAAGCCACCAGTTCCCTCGCTCTGTTCTCTCCTCCTCATACCTCATTTGTTTCGAAAGCATTTTCAGCTCTGTCCCCCTGCCCTTCTAAGCTTATGCTAACTCTTGGGGCTCCCAATCCAGCACTAACCTCACGATCTATTTTACAGATGAACGCAGAGAGAACCTCGGGTACATACGATCTGCCACTAAGTGTAAAGTGTCATGGATTGATTGCCAGATGGTGCTTGGGCTATCCCTGCCTTGGAAGGTTCAGGAGGAAGGCAGCACTTATTTCAGGGGGATCTGTATTCCCTACAGTTTAAAAACGGAGGTCTCTCCCCACTCCACACACACTGCACAGCAAAAACCTTGTCTTTAGATTTTTCTGTGGGTTGTGGTTCTGTGCTGCAGCAGCATGCTGTCTTATGTAAATACTTGGGGGGGGGGATTATTGAAACCTGGCCAGTCCACAACAATTAAAGCAAGTGAAGTTTTCAACCTCAAAGGTTGTCCAATGATCAGCCACGGGCACTTCATTCTAAAAATGGCATATTAAATGGTATGTTGGAGCCTTGTGCTGAGCAGGGCAACAGGGGCGCAGAGAACACCTCTCTGCTCCCTTTCTTTTAATCCTCCCCTATTCTTGGGATGTGTGCTGTGCTTCTGTGTAAGCACATTCCTAGCTTTGAAGGTCTTGGCAGTGGCCAAGCTGACTCTTGCATACCATGTGGAATAGTTGGTGCTATGTTGGGGTGGGGGGAAACAATGAAATGTATTTACTCTAAGGAAAAAATAAAGAGGACTAAGCTGCCTCCCTGGCCTATAGTGGGCTGATTCATTGTTGGCAGAGAAGAAGCCACTAGCTTAAGACCTCCCCCCTCCCCAGCTTTTAGGCACATGCGTATGTGTGACCTTTGTGGGCCCATCTGCCACTTCAGTCTGGAGAGTTTGGATTAGGGAGAAATTAGGTTCCCTTAAGCGGCACTTCTGGGACTAAATCAACTGAGAGAGGGCTTCTTTAAGACAATCGGAAAAGGGACGCTCCAGCCAAATACTTTGCGCGAAGGGCATGCAAGTACCTGTTCAGAAACAGGAATGTGACGGCCTTTAGGGATTGGAGAGCAAGGCATTCGCTTTGTTGTCAGAAGGCACAGTGAATTAGTATACAGTGGTACCTCGGGTTAGGAACTTAATTCGTTCCAGAGGTCTGTTCTTAACCTGAAACTGTTCTTAACCTGAGACACCACTTTAGCTAATGGGGCCTCCTGCTGCTGCCGTGCTGTGGCTGCACAATTTCTGTTCTCATCCTGAAGCAGAGTTCTTAACCTGAGGTACTGTTTCTGGGTTAGCGGAGTCTGTAACCTGAAGTGTCTGTAATCTGAGGTACCACTTACTGTGATCTGGGAAAGAAGCTAGTGGTTGCTCATCTCATCTTTTTGGAGTAGCTTTCTTGGAGTGACAATGGTACGTGCGTTGTTGAAATGGTACGTGCGAATATGCAACGCGGGAATGGGTGGGGAGTCTGTTCTTGGGGGACTAAAGCTCCCATCGCTGCCAACCATTGGTCACACTGGCTGGCTAGGGCTGATGGGAGTTGTAGTGTTGCAACACCAAAAGGTCACAGGTTCCCCACCCCTGTTGTAAAGGCAGAAACTCTCCAGAGTTCAAGCTGACAATAAAACAAGCAGAGACAAGGAGCTTGCCTGTGTTAGGTGAATGATTCATAAGAACCAGAGAATTTTATAAATGAATGTGGCAGAAGTGAGAATAGAGAGTTGGAAGAAGAAAGTATGGTTACATTATCTAAGTGAGATATCAATGTACCGTATTTTTCACTCTATAAGACGCACTTTTCCCCTCCTAAAAAG